CTCCACTTAAATTCCAAAACAATTCTTGTTTGAATGTATGTCTGTGTTTCTGTGTTTTTGTATCTGTTTAACAGGATGCTTTTTCCCTATTCACTCCAGAAACACTGATCCGCACATACCCGACTATCCAACACTTGTGGATATCTGTAATATTCACAATCACAACATACACGTGGCTGATGCTACTGTGTGTCGCCAGGATGTGCGCAGTGAGGCTCAGGGGAAACTCACAGAGATGTTTGAGGCTGGGCACTCGCTGTCCACAGCACTTGATGTGCTGAAGTATGATTTGCAGGTTCAGTGTGAGGATGACTACATCCACACCTCAGCTATTTTAGACAGCAAGCAGTGGCACTCTATGATCAAAGAGTTTTCAGCCATGGCACAGAGCAATGAAGAGTTTCAGCGAGCAGCATCAGCCATGATGAAGGCCTTTCACAGGCTAAAGGGAAACCCCTCCAGGCTGCTGTCAGCGATGCACATGTTTGGTCACAATGTTGCCAACAGCCCAGCATTACAGCAAGCACAAAGCCGCCGGCGGGCCGCTAATTGTGCTGGGCCAAATATAACTGCACATCCCACCTCTGTTGCCGGCGGAAAGGTCAAGTTTGGGGGTAGAAGCCGACTCACTGCTGGGAGGCCGAAGAAAATAGTTGCAACCATGGACCATCGCTACAGCTCCCCAAAAGGAGTGAAATCTGGCACTCACATCTTGCAGTAGAGGTGTGTTGCAGTAATCCAAATCCCTTTTTTATAGTTGTTTGTATATAGTTCCTTTTACAAAACCTATACACATTGACAATGTTGCAGCCCATGATAGTTCATACAAATCTGTTGTTAATGTCTACAGCTCCACTTACACCTACACAAAGGGAGTGCCATTGTAGTGTTAATCTCAACTGATGGCAGGTTTTTAATCACTTGCTTTTTCAAATATTATAATATTATTAATATGTATTTGATTTATTGTATTTTTGTTGTTGTTTATGACTGCCATTATTACCATTACTACACTATTATAAACACATTTAGCATCAGAGTGGCATCTTTTAAAAACTTGTCATTCATCATTACTAATGTACCGAGAAGGTTAAGTAAACTCATAGGAAGCAGATATTATAAATACACATTTATTGAAATATGCAACAGTAATTGGTCCTCGCTGGAGTGGGACCAGCCCTCCATCTGCATGTCTGGGTCAGGACGGGGAACATGATCACTGTGATGATCTGTTGCAGTGAATGAAGAAGACACCCAGCGCTGTTCTTCCTCACAGGGAGTGAGAAGAAGGGGAGAAGACCTTAAAGCCAACAGAAGCAGTCCAGCATACCAAAGCAGGTCCTCAATGTCTACCGCTCTGAGGGCACACCTGGGCTATGGGAGGGAGAGAAATTACAAGTTATATGACATGGACATTGGAAAATTAACAATGAAGTGTGGGCCATTGTTTTATGTTTACAATATTCTCATGTTGCGGATACGATCAAACAAGGTAGTAAGAGGGGGTCAACTCTTTAGGTGCAAGGCAAAAAATCTAATGAACATTCATGACATTGATAAAACTTAATTTAAAAAAAACAAACGACTGATTAACTGAGCTTAAGGAGTTTTGCCTCTGCGTTTCACATTAACTCACCTCCAGTAGCTGCAACAAGCAGGAAAAACAACATGAGCTGCTGCTGCTGAGTCGCTCTCCTCCAGGCTCTGCCAAGTTTGGAGCACCGGTTAGCATCATAGCTAGGCTAATGTTAGTGGTTAGCAGACACCCGGAACGGATTAGCCAATCAGGCGGTCTGGTTTAACCTAAACATTTTGAACAGTGCAAGTGGAGCCACTGATACTCCTTATGAAAGCATTAACCTCAACATCCCTGCTCTCAGACTCACTGCTTCTCCATGAAAGGATTTACATAACTTGAAATGAAGTTTACCAGCATGGTGAAATGTCCTTTCCCTACTGCATTACTCTGTAATTCAGAAATTTCCAGATTAGAAACTCAATCAGGTGCATGTAAAAAGATTAAGTTTGTCTGTATTTGCAGCATAAGTGCTTATTCACTCTTTTCATTGTGTTTTTCATATTTTCAACTGACCAATTCAGCACAACGTGAATTATGAGAGACCAAGTCAAGATGCATTTTCCCTCAAATTTTCATTCGTGATTAGACATGTTTTTTTTTAACTTCACATGTGTTTTTCATAAAGTTTTTGATATGTCCACTCTCAATGTTAAGTGATACGTAATAACAGTGTAATTAGAATGATGTATTTTATTAAAACTGTTGAGATGAAATGCAATTTTATTACTGTAAAATAAATATTTTCAACATATTAAAATATACTGCTTGATGCTGTGGAAATTTAGCCCAAACTACAGTGTGTCGAATTGTGAGGATACTCTTTAGTTGTAGGGTTTAGCTCTGATTGTTATTTTGTAACGTTACCAAAACTTATTTACCTTTTTTAAAAATTAAAAAGAAAAAAAAAAAGGAAAAGAAAAGAAAAAATATTGTCTAGAGCTGAAATGATTAATCATTTAGTTAAAAAAAAAATCAGCAACTTTCTGATAATCAATTATTTAAATCAATTTTCAAGCATAAACAACTACATTTTGCAGGTTGCAGCTTCTCATGTGAGGATTTGATACTTTGTATGTGATTGTAAACTGATGTTCTTTGGGTTTCAGAGTACTGATTGAATGAAACAAGGCAATTTGAACACATCACCTTTGGCTGAGGGAAATTAAAATCTGCATTTTTTGCTATTTTCTGATTGGCGATTAACCAATTAATTGATCAGCAGATTAATTGATAATGTAAATAATTAATTGCAGCCCTAATAATGCTCACAAGTCTCCATAAACTCTCCTCAAATAGAAGTTAGATATCTACTTTCTTCTTTAGCGTCCTTGAAATGTAAATCAGCTCCTCAATTCTATCTACTACGAAGATTGGCAATGAGCCCAGGCCGCAAAGTCACATGTTCTTTTTAGATTTGCAGACATAAATATATCTTCTGTTTCTGATCACAGAATAATATTGTATGTGGTTATGTCAGTGTGCCCCAAATGTCATATTCCATCAGAAAAATGTTGTCCTCTGCACTAATGAGGAAGTAACAGTACTTAAACAACCAGCATGGGTGATGGATCCACCGCAGACACTCAGATAAAATTTCAATGTAATTGACAACTTACAATAAATTACAATATATTTGTGTTCATATCAGCTCAAATACATTAAATTATAAAGACATTAAATTACACCATTGATAAATAAACAGAGAAGACTTTAGGGGTGAATGAATCATCACTTTCAAACAGTCACACTAAATGGCAGATACTAGGTACTTTTTTTTATCTTTCCACAGCTTATTAGAAATTCATCGTGTGTGTAATTCTTTGTCAATTATACATTTCAGTATTGGGTCTGTATAGTGCATTTCTGATCATTGCTATAATCCATACTCATGGTGAGATCAGCTTCAGCAGGTGCAGTACATTACACTAAATGTGTCTCATGTCACATATTTATTATATTTCACAACATCTTATCTCCCAGACTGTAGACTGGTGCTCAGTTTTTTATACCATGGCCACAGCAGATATTTGTTTGGGGTTGGCTGTCCGGGTCAAAATCGTACACTAGCACAACTCAAATAATTCCTGTCAACAGTTCATCTCATATTTAAAACTGTGCACAAAAACTGGGTGTAAAAACTGAGTTAAGTTACCAATTAACTGTAACTGCTCAAATAGAATTAATTAGGGGTTAATCATGCTCAGGTCCATGTTTACTGACAACAAACAAACTTTAAAGGTCCCATATTGTATAAAGGTAGATGTCCATGTCTTTTTTGATTATAGAGCAGGTCTAGGTTCTATATTAATACTATGAAAGTATCAAAGCGTTCAGTCAACAGAGAAATGCACACAGCCTGTTTTCAGAAACTGAGCCTTAAAACGAGCCGTCAGGACTTCTGTAACTTTGTGATGTCACAACTATACAGTCACTGCCCACAGCACAGCCCACCTGGACCCACCATCCAGCTTTGCAGGATTTGGGCCCAGTTCCAACTCAGCCCCTACACCATCCCCATACCCACTCTCACTCCGTTTGCGTGTTCGTGTGAAGGGTCCGCCACATTAAGTGTCATTACAAACTAATGACCCTTAAGTGGGAGTGGCCCTCCAACACCGCATCGATGCAGGCTCACAAACCACACTACCAGAAAAGTGCAGCATGACTTTGAGTCCGTGTCGGATGAAATGCCTACAAATACAATACCTAAAAAAAGAAGTAATAAGTTACCTCACCTCAAACAGACATTTGATAGACTATTTTCATGCACACATGACGAAATTAAAAGTTGCATTGTATTTTGGATTGAACATGTTGCTGTGGACCTGAGGAAATGGGACGTGTTTTTTTATTTGACTTGATCATTTCAAGAACTATGGAAAAAACAAGGATCTAATCTGATTAATAGCAACGAAAAAATGTTCAACAAAAAAGAAATGCAGCCAAAAAAATCTCACTATGCCATGAATTTAATTAGTGTTATGTCATTGTCATACACTATATCTTTGTCAGTGCTGTGTATAAGATTATCTTTTAGATAAATATTGATTAATTACAATATCCTTTCAGAAATATTTTTGGTAACAATGAATTTCCTGTTTCCATCGGAGTAAAGTGAGGGCATCCCAAAGCTTGCAGGTGTATTTATATCTTCCCCCTTCATGAAGAGACCCTCCACAAACAGAGTTACACTCTGTCTCTGAGTGGGGGGGGGGTATAGGTGCCGGATTGGATTGGGCCTTGGTATCTTTGAGTGTTTATCTGAAATCTGCTTTATTTTTTATTCAATCACTCAGAAAACAGTCAGCTAATCGGAAGAGAGCCTCAGAGCCTCTCTTCTGATTGGCTCACTGACCTGTTGTTGCTAGAGCTCCAGAGAGAAGCCTGAGAGAGGAGCTGTAAAACTATATTGAGCTGGTTTTTGGTTCTTAAAACCACAAATATATCTTCTTATGGATCAACACTTTAAATAAAACACTGGAAAAGTGTAAAATGTGGAACCTTTAAGAAATGGATGACAGTTTGAACACAGCCTCTTTTTGCCCATGACACATGGCCATGGTATAAACGTGATGGTTTCTGACACACAGAAATTACAGACTCCACAGCTGTAATGCGAAGCACAGTGGTGTTCATCTATGATTTTCATATATCAGAGCAGCTTGTCATGTATTATCACTTAACATTGCTCATATCTGTAAGAAGCTGTCATTGCTTTTCTTATGTAATTACTAGGAGAAAGTCAAATCTATAGATCCAGACTCTAACAGCCTGAGGAGACACAAGACCAAACATGATATTACGGTTATGAACCGTGAGGCACAGCCAGCATCAAGCAAAATCCAGTGACTTCACAGCGTACATGCTGACCGTTTGCTCTTCTTTATCAAAAGCAGTCACTGCATGTTATTTAGTCCACTGAAGTGAAAATGATCAGTTCTGTCACAATCAATTTTACTGACTGGAACTGTCCTGGAGTGGATGTGGTGCACAGATTTGCATGTACAAGTCTGTTGTGTGTGTACATTTTTTTTTTACGCGCCATGGCAGCAGTTGTCAAGTGGTGACAGGTCTTTTCAGTGGTAGCTACAGTACCAGCCAGGTCAATGTCCTGGTGATGTGTGTGTGTTTGTGACTGTGCTCTCTCAGAAGCCTTGTATATGGCAATAGGCCTCCAAGCTGGCGAAGAGGATGTAGAGAAACCAGAGTCCAAAGAAAAGGAGTGAAGTGAGGACTTTGGGGATCCGCGGGCCTCCCAGTTCACCGCCTACGGACGGCCTCCGGCGGAGCATCAACACTCCCATACTGAAGAAGGCAAAAATGGTGAAGAGTGTGACGGAGAAGGCCAGCGAGCCAGGGTCCACACGGAAGACCTTACCTTTGATTTCCCAATATACAGCAGCCACAGACCAGGCCACGCCAATACCCAAAAACACATTAACTGCATTGCTTCCTGTCACATTTCCTATACATGCATCCGCATACTGGTCCTGAGTGGCAGCCACTTTACTGGCGAAGGTATCTGGGTAAAAAAAAGTAAAGTTAGTGAAGTTTAAGTGTTTATTAACCTAGCCAAAAGTTACATTAACTAATATTGTATTTGTTTTAATAGTTAAAAACTCAGGTAGAATCACTCACCAGGAAGTGAAGTCCCCAGTGCTACAAAGACGACTGCAGTGACAGCGTCTCTCAGGCCTACGGTGCAGCCAAAATGGGAGGCTAGGTCTCCAATAATGGCTGTTAAGACGCCAATGACAGAGATTGACACGATGAAGCATGCCCAGCCATTCCAGTACTCAGTGGGCGGGACACAAGCAAACAAAATCTTCCAAAAAATGCACAATATGTGCATGAAATAGTCGAAGCAGTTCGGCATTCGTTGCTCTTGTCCCTCTTCATCTCCATCGCCTGTTATAAGAAGAAGAAAATTAAACCAAGCAACAAGTCCCGTCATCAGCCACAAATGATAAAATCACATTTTCAGCAATTCAGCTTATAGTGTCATAATAATTTGAAGTGGTGGGTGATCTTTGTGCTCATAGGCTACCTTGCAAATGACTGACAGGTCAAGGGGCTATGTGGAGATTATGGTGAAGGTTGTGCCATTTTAAGAATGCAGATAATTTTTCAGTTCATCTGTTAATCTAATGTGGATAACCATTTTCAAAATGGCTCCTGCTTCTTATGGCAGCATTAAAGTTCAATGTTTTTTTTTTCTTTTTTAGAAAAACACTTATTTACTTTTTGGCACTGGTTTCTTTTTTTTATGCTAAACTAAGACAACAGGCCACTGGAAATAATGGGAATTTTTGTATTTTCGAAAATTATGAACTATTCCTTCAAATTGGCAAATCACATATTTCTTGTGAATGCCAGACTAACACACAGCTAGCAGCAATTTGGGAGAAATACTTTCCTCTCTATTCATTGTTAGTAACATTAGCCATATTGTGAGTCTGGATGTTTAACATTAAAAAACTGACATGAATGAACAGCAAGCAACAAAACAAACTAGATTATTTAACCAGGTTGTAACATTAAATTATAATTGTTTATTTAATCATTTTGAGACCAATTCATTTCACGTCTTAATTTGAGTTAGTGTAAAAGATCATCAACATGATTAATAATCAGGTTTAATGCAGTGAGCAAAAACACCCATCTGAAACATCGAAAAATGTAGCGGTCAGATTCAAGTTCTGGTCAAGTCTGTAAAATTAATTAAATCATAATGAGGAAGAAATACTAGTTTAGTACTGCTGCTAAAACTATGTCTCTAATTAATGCTTTTAATGTAACTAAATATTCTGCTACTCAGTTAAAAAAAATATATATACAAAAAATAGCCACTGACCTGAACTGACGGTGACTGCTTCAATGAACTGCTCTCTCCACGAATGAGTGCCAATCACTACAGCCAGGTTTGTGTCCTTCAGGAGTTTGTCCACAGTGCTCTGTTACAACACATTAAACAGGTCAGTAAGTAAGCAGAGGTAATCATAGCTCATATGAATGCACACAGAACATATGGGTCCACGTTTATGTCACTTCACCCTCAAACTCTAAGATGGATTATTGTAAACTTTTTAACATAGGCTAGTTGATGCAGAGCACATATTTATAGTACACGCACAAAACCACTGGCTTCACTGTTCTGCTGCAGAACTTGAATTAAATCCAGAATAAACGGACCCAGACGTTGCTCACACAGCGCACACTGATATACAAACATTGCATCTGTACATCTCGTATCAAAGTGCATGTGATACATGAGAAAAGTTGAGAAGTGACAAGAGGTAGAATTAAATGTGTGGTGTTTGAGTATGACGAGAGTTTAATGAGGAAATGAGAGGAGAAAAGTCTCATCAACACACAACATGCAGGCAGTAACTGTACCTGGTCTAGTACTCCATTGGGAGTCTGATGTGTGAGAGGGCAGGGAGAGGGCATATGTTCACTCATTGAAGATAATAAAAAAATCTCATATTTTCTAACAACTTAAATAAAATGTACTTGGATGTTCCTTGTATTCACTGATTTATTTGTACACAGACTGTCTGTTTTACTGCTGGTTTAACGCCTTCTGTCAGCCACTCACACACCTTAAACTCACAGGACTCCTCTATGATGACCTCAAGCCTGCTGTGCTCTCCTAGAATGGGTTTACCCATCTCAGAGATCCTCCTGGCCTCTTCCTCCTCAGGGGTTGGGTTTCCTGTCAGGAGAGAGCAGATATTTAATAACCCTATCTGTAATTTATTGTCTCATTTACAAAATACACACACATCCTAAACCTTAACCAAGGGTCCAGGCCCAAACCTAAAGTATGAAGATGAAAAAAACATTTCACACACATGCACACACTTTCAAAGTATAAACGTTTTAAGGGTGCTGTGTGCAGCATCCATAACGTCATGTACTTCCTGTCGAAACAGGTTGGGGGTGGCATGCTCAACCCCCTCAGTGCAAGCGGTCAAAAGGATCTGTCTGCAGGCTGCAATACTTGCCCTACTAGGGCTATGGCCACTTCAAGTTACTTCCCCTTCATATTACATCATGCCGCTGTACCTCCAGTGTGAAAGGGGTTTAAGCACAGCACCTATGCTAACTAGCTGCTAGCTTCTTTTGTAGGACCGCTGAATAACTATAAAAACACACATTTACTGACCGGAGCGTCTCGCTCCGAGGCTCTGACAGTAACAGGAGCACCAACCCGCGGATGAAACGTGACGGATCAATTTTCCCAGTCTGCAAGGCAGCTAGCAGCTCACTCTCAGTGCAAGCAGAAAGGCACCATCTACTGGCAAAGAGCTGAAGGAAGTGAGAGGGACCCTGCCCCTGCGACCCAGGTAAGCAGTAGAATATGGATATGGGCAAATGGTAGTTTATCACAGTAAATTGATACATCTTATAATATTTTATGTGGAGTGGTGGCAACTATTCATAAAATATGTGCCAAGTTGTCTTGTGTACCATCGTCTTCACGCGATCTGCCATCTTGCCAACATCTCATTTTGACATCTCGTGCGGTTCTGTTTGATTTGGACAACTAACAGTTACGCCCCCTTAGAGTTACACTCTTCTCTTGCAGTCTGCAGACAGACCCCTCTCCAAGTAGCTGGCCATGCAGTAACAGTCCCTGCCCTCAGCAAGCACAATTAACCAATAAAGATTTGCTATCTTCCACAAAGTAAAAGTAATAATATGCTGACGGATGTTACAGCACAAAACAATAAAAAACTAAGATTTTAGACTTTCAGACAATGGCAAGTATTGGAAGTCATTTAAGCCTGAAACCATGTTTATGGTCTTCAGTAAAACAAATGCCAGGAAGGACAGAAGGAAAGTAGAAAATCCCTTTTATTACCAGGAAGTAATGGGCAAAAGATCCACTGATCTCAAGGAAGCAATGGGGTTTTTATGGGTGTTCTGACACCCTAACTTTACTGCTGATAGCATGCAATTTCACAATAATACACTGATATCTAATAATGCTGCACATTGCACCTTTAACAGCCAAACTGTACCTTGGTTTAGCAGCAATGCTGGGAAAAAAGACAGACAACAATTCAATACCATACAGTAACACTATTTCCAGGGCCTAACTAATTAGAGAGGCTTGAGAGATTCTAAGATGCAACAGGAAAAAATAACACACTCTGTTGGGTTTCATTTTCACTTTTACCTAAATGAAATAAACTACTGTTCATTACAAACTGATGTAAGTGATTCTTTTGACCTCTAATAACAAGCACACATCCTGCTGACACATTGAGGTTACAGGGAACAGGCAACTGAATGATACTAAATTCATAATTGGCTGCAGCGCCTGCGCTACAGTGAAACAGAGACAGCAGTGAATGGCAGCGTGTAATCTTCGGTTACTGGCTCTGACGCAGGTGCCCAGCCTTCAGCCGTCTGTGCTGCCGTTGTTATTGTTTTGATACTCGATCTTGGATATTGCTGCCATCTACTTGCTGAGTGTTTTTTTTTTTTTTTTAACGTCAGGGTTTCTTTCACCATCATCTCATACTGCATCACTTAATTGTCGCAAGTCATTAAGATGTCAGAGATAAAATACAAAATGCTTACACACTCACCAGAGAGTCCTCGCTTCAGCCATTTGGGGTCCTCAAGCACAATGAAGAAGTTTTCCTGCTTCTCATATTCTTCCACATTTATAATGCGCACCTGTAAGGTCTGACTGGAGATATGCAAGCACACACACACACACACACACACACAAGCACACACATATTCTTAATTCTATAACAAAAGCAACATTAAGTATTATTCAATTCGATGAAGGATAAGGTGCCTAAAAACACAAGACCTCAACGTCTTAAACATTTCCTCTACCATCTAAATCACATCACAAATTGAAGTGACCTGAATAATTAATCACTATCGACCTGTAAATAATTCAGGCCTAAACATAGTGTGCTCCTGCTCCTCTGTTTGCCAAAGAAATAGCGCTAAACTAAATACCTTGTAACACAGCTTTGATACGCTGGTTAATCAATGTGTGTAAAGTTAATTTGTTGAACTTTGACGACTTGCTGAGAAGCAGCGAATACAGATAAACGTGTATGTAACGGTTGCAGTCTAAAAAAAAGAAGTTAAGTAATAAGGGCTAACCACCCCCACACTTTGTCATTAACTATGATCTACACATTGTTATACTCTTGACTGTGTAGTGTCTATTGATGGGCCATGTTACATAACAGAGTCTTTCACTAAGTGTACAATTAGTCCATGTGCAAACACAGCTTATATAACCTGAAAATTTAATGGGAAAAGGATCTGTCAGCTTACATGGGGTGACTCGAGGTTCCCACACCTGATCAGGGACGGGATTATCTTTGGGTGTCAAGTCGTCAGGTAATTCTGTCTAAAAGGACCTACTCCACCAGGAGTGGGTGACTGATAACCCATAGTAATCTTTCAGCGAGGTTCAGATGCCCTTTTCCTAGAAGCACCAATGTGCCAGTAAGATTAATATAAAAGCAGAAGGGTGCTGTGTTTCTGAACTAGTGTTTAGAAAAAGAGGACAGCTGTCTTTTTGATTATTGTCTATGTGGTTGTGTGTTTATACCTAGAATTTAGAGAACATCATAGCATATTTAAGTTTTGTCAATTATTTAGCTCCTATTAAATTGGCTGAATGAGGAAATGTAGAGAGTTGCTGGTTCTGAAGACCTACATACATCAAAGTTTCCTTCTCTGTGTTAAGTATCACAATATTCTATATTTTTCTTGTTATCTTGTTCTCATTAAAAGACCAAAACCAACATTCTACTGATCCTACAAACAAATACTGTTATATGTTATGTGTTTTTAATCCTTTTTGGACAATAAAAATGATTAAAAACAAACAAATATGTGTTATATAAACTACTCGATGCCTAAATTCTATCTATCTAAATAAGCCACACTGCTTTGACATGTTTCTTGATTATCATGAACACATACACTATAGTTTATTTTGAGTTCACTCACCATCCACATCAACATCCACTACGAACTACACCGTCCAGCTCTTTTATTATTTAGCCTTTTTAAAAAAAAACAGAAATATGTATTTCTGGCCCATTTGTTTTGGTAGGAACCAATGGGCTTGTGGGATACAGGGTAGGGATCAGATCGTATTGAAAGATGGACTAACACACAGTTGTTTTTGGTCTTTTCATGGGATTAATTATAAAATGACAAAATATTGAATAATCCAAACCTTGACCTTTAAAGGGGCTATTTATACATTTTTTTCTGACACCGAATGTTGTTTCTTGCCGGGAGCGGGTGGTAGTGATTGTCGCTTGACAAGGGCTTAAGTCATTATTGTCTTTACAAGACAAGAGGTTATAATACACCCTCTGAGCACCGCTACATCTTCAGGTCAGACCGGAGGCTACAGTGAGTCATTATCAGAAAGTGACGAGACAGGCCGTGGCTAGCTGGTTAGCATACTAACTTCAGTAGAAGAAGAAGTGTTAGAGACAAGAGTTAAAATTGTTGCTGCTTTCCACAACTGGAGACAGTTCTTGGTTGTGGTAGAATGAAGTTTTTTTCATTTGACTATGCTGTCAGCATCCTTCACACAAGGCAACACACACTACATGACATCCAGAATGTCTTTATTATTACTATTATAGTCAAAGAACTGCTGTGTAATTCACATTTATAGACTCTTAGCTTTAGGAAGTGTTTATTATGTTGTTTGATCAGTTAACCACTTGCATTATGATTGATCTCAGGTTTTGAAGGCTGTAATTTGAAATCCCCATTTGTGTTATTCCTGTCTATCATTATTAGTGCCATTAGGTTTATATGTTATTTCAGAACAGAAAGTCTCCTGGCAAACTCCAACAAGGCTGAACCGCTGAGACACCGGCAGAATCCGTCACCGTGATAACGGGACACAGCCTCCAGGAGAATCCATTGTAATTCATTGTTGTCCTCCCTGAGGACTGGTGCCCCCCTCCAACGAGAGAAAATATGTGGTGTTCACACTACACAAAACTTACAAATAGCCCTTCTGAAAAAAACATTTGCTTCAGGCTTCTTGATAATGAAGAAACCTTGTTTTAATGTATTGTAGGTTAAGGAGCAGGAAATTGCAACATTACGAGACACAGTGTCTCCTTCCTGGAAGAGAAGAGATTGAGATTGTTTCTAAGGAAACACATCCATCAGACTCTGTGGCTCCTCCACTCTTAGTGTATTTGCCAGTCATTGCCTCACCTGGTCTGTTCATTGGTGAATTCCAGCTCCCCTCTGCTCTCCTCGTAGTCCACCCCAGACTTGGCACTGCCATCCTCTGTATGGTATGGCACAGCAACAGTACCCCTGGATCCTGAGTTCCTCACCACTGTCACTGTCAATATGCCTGTGCTCTCGCTCACCCGCAGCACCCGCTGACCGAAGGTGAAGATGCCAGCGTGGTCGTCGTCCAAGATAGTGATGGTGGCAACCAGTGGCTCCACTAGTCTACCCCTGGGCGGAGTTCCTGTGCCTTCATTTCCACCTTCTTCTACCCTCAGTTTCTGAAGACGCACAAAGAAATGCTCATCCTCTTCAAAGATGTCGTCATCCAAGATACCAACCTGGAGAGAGTGCAAAGTATCTCCTCATAAACACAGAAGGTAATAACAATTTTAATTCAGATTCTCGAAACTCACTACACAACTTTCAAAATGACTGGTTCCGGGGTTCCACTGATACCAAACCCTGAAATATTTCACTGTATTTAAAATCATGTAAATGTTAGTTGCTCACCTTGATCTCTTTGCGGGTCTCCCCTGGCTTAAACACCAGGGTTCCCTCGGTGAATTCATAGTCTGCCCCAGCATTGGCAGAGCCATTTTCTGTACAGTAGTCCACATAGAAAGTGTTCTGACCTGTGCCCCCATCAAGGATCACGCCAAGGCTCAGAGATCCACAGTTCTCTGTGCACTGGTACTGGGCACTTTCAAAACAAATGTGCGAACATGTGGCCTTGTCAGCATCATCATGTCCTGAGCGGCGTGTGTGCTCAGCAGCATGTCTCTTTAATATGTTACCGGCACCAATCAACATGCGTGTCGCCTGGACACGGTAGAAGGCGCGGCTCTTCTTCTGGTGAATCAGGGCAGAGTAGTTGGCCATCTCAATCAGCTGGTCCAGGTCTTTGTCCGGATGTTTCTCCTTCAGGTCTTTAAGGATGCGGACCACCTATGCAGGAGAGGAAACCGGATGTAAAATAACTCACTTTATTCATGGAGATGCACTCTTTGTCAAATGTTCTGTAAAAAGTGCTCTTTAAAACACAAATTGCTTCAGACCCTGTTTTAAGTTGTGACTACACAGGCTGTGTGTGCAGTTGGGTCCGATAGGGGGTTTCAGTTCACAGCAGAATGAGAACAAATAGCTTAGTTTATAATGACAAAAGTATTGGTGTTTCTTGGGACAAAACTCTGCAGACTAATGTAAGGATGTTTATCAAGAAATACTTTGAGATCCCCTACCGCTCAGCCTCCTGCTGTTAAGACTCCTGCTGTCTGCACTCCTGCTATTCAGACTTCTACTAGGATTGAATCCTGCTAGCCTCAGGAAACCTGATATTCCCCTTAAATTCCCATTAAGTAACTTCAAAGTCATAAAAACATTAGAACCAGGAGTGGTCATGACAGTGTTCCTTGTAAATATGTTCCCATCAATAATTAATTAATTCTAATTACTTAACACAAACCTAATGGAGCAGTTTGTAAGTGTTGCTATTTGCTACATAGCCAATGTTAGCATTAACAGCTGTTTACTTACCAGTCTAAAAGAAACTTTGCAAGTTAAGCATCAAACTTCATTCCTTTACTCTGCCTCCAGAGGTGGAAAGCAACCCTCTTGTTCTGCTTCTATGTCCATCACTTTTCTTCCACTGAAGTTAGCATGCTAACCAGCTAGCCCTGGTTTAGTCAGATTGTCTCTTCACTTTCCGACATCGAGTCACTGTACCGTCCTGAAGAAGTAGCACTGCTCAGAGGATGTATTATAACCTCTAATATCGTGAACACAACGATGGCTAAAGCTCCTGGCAAGACTGGTAAGTAAATAAATGTTAATGCCAACTCTGGCTATGTAGCAATAGCAAAACTTACCAATAGCTACTTAAAAAAGCTGTGATTTCACACCATCCAATCTTAGGTGCAATGTGTGTCTCCAACAGCATTTCTCCTTGAGCCACGTCTTACCTCATCTTTGTTCTGGTCTAGTTCATTGCCCGTCTGCACAGAGACCGTCACACTGGAGGAGTTTCCAGGGCATGAACTGCCATCCGACAACTTCCCATCCATGATCACATCGATGCCTTTGGGCGTAAGGTCCCCTTCCATTTCCACCACAATGCCATGCCGCTTGTCAGCACGGTAACGCTTGTGCATGTATTTGTAGAAGAGTAGGCGACGGTCAGCGATCCAAGCCAAGATCACACACACAGGGAAGTACAGCAGCGTCACTACAGCTTCCCACACCTGGTAATACAGGCAATATGAAAATAACATGTTTTATAAACGTGAATTATTAGAAAATACAGCCAAAAATATGCAGTCATCAGAAACACACCTCTACAATCCCAGGTGAGATGACAGCCAGTATGAGGTAGAGCCAAATGTAGGCAAAAATACTCCAGAAAGCCGTAATAAAAAACACACGCAGGTGTTTGATCTTGCGAGACTCTCCGTCGGGAATCACCCACACACATAGACCAACAATCACAAACATATTGAAGGCAGCGCTGCCCACTATGGTGCCCGGGCCGAGCTCCCCTGCATTAAAGTTGTGCCCACACACCTGTAAAAGTCAAACATTTGAGGGACAAAAAAGACAAACATCACAAGCAAATTAAAGACATTTTAAATGCTAAGTGGAATTGAATAACTCAAACTTACTCAAATATTATATATTTTGAATATGTAACTAGAAAAAGAAAAGTATAAAAATATATATTTGAGTGAGAATAGAGTTGAAATAAACCTGCAAATTGTGATTTTAATTTTCTATTAATTTATTTACCAGTGAATTTAGTTATTTAACCCACACAACTAGATTCTGAGAACTATATATACCTATAGATTTAAAGAATTCAAAACTTGAGAGAGATGTATGAATACCACATTCACAAAGATGAAAGATGCCTATGTCTTGTGTGATGGTTTATGTTAAAAGCATCTTGTGTACCTCAATGACAGAAAGCAGGATCTCAGGCGCAGAGGAGCCCAGAGCCATGAGTGTGAGGTTGGACACCGTCTCATTCCATATTCTCACTGTAGTTACTGTAGTTTCACCGTTAGGTTTGGTGATGGTCACCTCCTTCTCCTACAAGACATTTGTGAAAATGTTAGCGATGCTTAACCATCATACATATGTTTCCATTACAGTAATAAGTGTTAATGTCATAGTATGATACGTAGGCTTGGGTGGTATTCAAAATTTAACATCTTGATACAGTCCAGCCCAAATATCGCAATATACAATATTATATTTATCTTGTAATTATATTATTGAATTTTAGACTTCAGGTATAGGCGATGCCACTAAACAGTTTGACCACTTTTATTTGTCACATGTCAAGGTACAATGTACAGTAAGCAAAGCAATGAAATGAGAGTCAGCAGGACAGACTGCAAAACTGCAAAAAATAAAAGTAAAAAAAATCATGAAATGAAATATTACAAAAAATATTGAATATGGCGGAAAATATCACAATATTTGATATTATCAAATGCCAAAGCCTTATGATAAATTTCAAAATACATGTTTATAAAATCTCATATTACGACATTTAAAAGCATCAACACTCAACTTATACAATGCATAATTACATTTTTAGCTTTATATGTAAGTATTTGATATAAGTAACCTATCAATTCTGCCAAACTATATTTCAAAAAACACGCTACATATGGAGAATCCAAGAGCTGTGGGGTACATACTGTATCACTTCACAAAAAGATGCTGAAGGTTAGTGACAGGGGTCAACACAGAGAACCAAAACTGAGTGATGCTATGACTCTTTTTTGATTTTATGAGAAATCACTGTAACATTCCTGTAATATTCTTACATGGGCTCATAGCTGCCTGTTATACTTGGCTAGTTTGCATTTTTATTTTATAAAGAAATTTTTGAAACTATGGTGCTTTCAATTTTTCACGTCAATACTTAATTATGACTTTAATCCAATAAGACTGGATATAGATGATGTAGTTTACATGGATTTTTCTTTTTAAAATGTTAGTCTTAAAGTAGCTATATGTAACTTTTTTCTGATCAGTGACTAATGTGGGATAATAGCACATTGAATTTCCAGAGATTCTTGAGCCAATCGATCTGAGAGAGTAGAATCAGACCAAAGTGTCAAGTTCAATAATACCTGAGAGGTGATGACTTCTATTGATGCCATGAAGCGGTCTGCGATGATGGACACACCCAGAAACATGTACATGAGACCCAGGAAGTAGATGATGGCCCTACCCGCCTGCTCCCCCAGTGGAGGGTTGAGCGGTAGCCACACTGGCAGCAGGATACCAGGTCTACAAACCACAGTGCCTGCACACGCCCGCTTTCCAGACCCTGTAGAGTTGCCCACGGGTTGAGGCTGCTCGGGGCCAGACGCTCGCTCTACGACCTGTGGCCTGAAGGAAGTGCAGGGGTAGGCCAGGAGGACCAAGGAGAGAAGGAGCAGGAGGAGTGGGGAGAGGTGAAAGGGGAGGGGTCCCATAATATCCCTAAGACAGGAGGAGCACCTTGGTCACTGGACGAGCAGCTGGGTCAAAAGACTCTCCTGGAGACACAGAGGTACACATTATACAGTATATATGCAGTACACAGGCACATTATTCTAAATAAAGAGATACAATTATGTCTAAAGAATCTTTAAAGGTCCCATATTTTTATTTCAAATGTTGATATCAATAAGAAGATATATTTATAGTTTTAAGAACCAAAAACCATCTCAATGTAGTTTTACATCTGCTCTCTCAAGATTCTCTCTGGAGCTCTAGTAACGACAGGTCAGTGGGCCAATCAGAAGAGAGGCTCTGAGCCTCTCCTCTGATTGGATGATTGGTGCTTTGATACTATCACAGTATAATACAGAACCTAGACCTGTTTTATAATCGAAGAAGACATGGAAATCTCACTTTATACTAAATGGGACCTTTAAAATTTTTTTTTTTTTTCTGTCTGTCGGCTGGTTGACCACTTCAGTCCAGTCTGAAATGTCTCAGTAACTACTGGATGGATTGCCATGATATTTTCTAATAATTTTTTAGGCATTCATGGTTCCCTGAGGATGAATCCTAATGACGATGATGGTCCCCTGGTTGACATTTGTGGTTTTGAGTGAAATGAAATTCGGTACACACATGTTATGTTCTGCTCAGGATTAACTGACCTTTATTAGGTTAATAGTTCAATGTGTCCAATACAGTGACCAAGCACCTGCAAAACTATTGACATCCTCATCAGTCTCAGTTGTATGATGTTAGCATGCTAACATGCTAAACTAAGATGGTGAGCATGGTAAACACTATGCACATCAGCATGTTAACAATGTAAAGGATGTAAGCCTGCTGATGTCATCATTCAGCCGAGTACAGTCTGGCAGAGCCACTAGCATGTTGTTACATTACATTTTCTCATTGAAAATTATGGTTAATTATGGTTTGAAAACAGCCCCATGATGTCAAATATGAAAACAGCATTAACATGAAATACATGCAAAAAGGCAAACAAAAGCTGCTGTACAAGAGCCATTTACCTACAGGATCTATTTAGAGGCAGCTTTTCCAAGAATCAATGTGAGATCTAACACTGTCCTAAAAGGGACCTATTTTAAAATTTGCACAACCTCAGCTTTTTGTGAAAAAATAAAACAAAAACATTAGGACACTGTCAATAACATATATCTGTCACAAATCCCAAATTTTTCCCTGCAAAATAAGTGCATGCATTTCACTCCTTAGACCTCCCTAACATATAATATATATGAATTTTTTCATTTCATGTTGGTTATGTTAGTGAAAATGTAGGTTTTATACTCGGCAACAATTGTTGCCGGTGGGAAACCGCATAGTCTAAATTTACACAAATTCTTCAATTTGACCTATTTACACATGTAAAGAATAAAACTAACATGAACATGAGTAACATATTATAACTAGGCATGGTTACAAATGTGTGAACTTTATTAGATACATTTAGATATCATTTCAATTCATACTGAAGGGAACTAACAAGGACAACAACACAATTACTGTATTTCATAGTCTCATAAAACGGTTAAATAACCGTAGAGCTGAGAGTGTTTGAACTTACAAAATAAGAACTGATACTAGTTTGTAAAAAATAAAATAAATTCACATTGTGGCAGTACCTTAGATTCACTTAACATTTACTGACCACTAACATCATGGCCGGAAGATGAGTGCACAGTGTTATTCAACAGAAACACAAAAAAGTGCAGGTAAGTATTCACTTTACCGCAAAAACAGTGTATAGTGAAGGCGCACTATTAGTGACAAAAATCTGAATATTTATTTTACAGTCTTATGAACCAGTTTCAATAGATTTGATTTACATAACAGCTCAAAGGTTTATCGGTTAGATTTTACTCTCCATGAAAAATCTTGAAGCACTCAATGTGGAGTGGTACGTCACACTTCTCACATCCATACACAGTGCGGTTGTAGCATCGTCTGCATCTTTGGTAACGTTTTCCTGTGTTTACAGGCCAGTGATGTTTCCCATCACCTCTTGTGGAATCCTGAGGTTTCACAATTGCAGATCTTCTGCCTTGCCCAAGAGGCTGTTTACCATATCTCTTGAGGAGATCCAGGGACAAAACCCGCTGAAAGGTCAGGAGGTCATAATCACTGCCAACAACATCTCTGAAGAACAGCCAACTATTCACCACTGCACTGTGAAGGGACCAGGCCAGGATTGGCCACCACCACTTCTTTGACCTTATTGCAGATCTATATCTTGACACATGAAGATCATGCAGATCCACGCCACCCATGTTTTGGTTATATGTAAGGAAACACAGAGGTTGTGGCACTTTGACAAATGCTTTTTTCTCTTTGCTCCACCTGGATGCTTGACCCTCTGAATATCTTCCTACAGCATTGGTTGCCATGGTTACAACACTGTTATCCTTCCATCGCACCAGTAACTTCTCCCCCTCTGTAAGGACCTCTGTGCTTCCACGAGGCATTTTTTCAAAATCCTTCACACCTGTGAAAGGGATGTCATGCAGACGGCACTGTCTCAGTGTGCCAAGGGACCCATAACCTTGTTTGGTCATTTCATCAATGAGGCTAAGTGAGGTGAAAAGGTTATCATGCACAAATGTGCATCCTGGAGGGACTTCTGCTTGTTCAGCCAGACCAAGGACTACACTTGGGCCCTGTCCTAAGCCAGTTTCAGGCAGATGTGTGTGGACTCCACAATAGGGCTCCATGTGAAACATGTACCCTGTGGGTGAAGCAAGGCTCCACAACTTGTATCCAAACCGGATTGGTTTGCCCCTGATGAACTGCTTGCAGCCATGCCTGCCATAATAGCGTATCATGCTTTCATCAATTGACAGCTGTTTTGTGTATGGCATCATCTTGTAGGTGCTATTCAGTGCACTGAAGATGGGCCGCACTTTGTAGAAAGGGTCGTCTGTGGCCTTTGAGTTATCCACCAGATGAATTGAGGCCATTATCTCGTCAAAGCGGTTCCTTCTTATTGCATTTGAGATGGCTTCATTGTAGACATCAGGGTCATATGACCAATACATGTGCCTCCTTGGTACTGAACTGTAGCCAGATGCGAGCAGAACCCCATAAAAACTCAGCAACTCATCCATGCTCAGATCAAGTGCCTTCCCTTTGGTTTGCATTGAGTAGAGGTTTGACATCTCAACAGTGAGCTCCCTCAGAGTAGGAGGATACATCAAAAGGAACAAATCAACAGGGTCAGGTTTAGTTTGTTTTATGCAATCTGCTGCAGTTGGACCATAGGTCACAAAATCTGGTATACCGGATGTGGCTGGGCGTCGTGATCTTTTAAAAATCCTGTCCTTATTTTGCTTATTTTGAAGCGTTTTTTTCTGGTTTTTTTGGCGTTTTGGGGTTTCATTTTCTTCAGGACATCTCCTTTTTTTTGGTTGTGGGGTTTCATTTTCTTCAGGACATCTCCTTTTTTTTGGTTGTGGGGTATCATTTTCCTCAGGGCATCGTCTTTTTCTGGTTTGTGATCTGGGTTTCTGGGTGGACACTGTGGGAGATTCACCAACTAGCGGCAATGGGTTTTCTTCAAAACCAAATGCTGGCGGAGTGAGAGATGAGGGAGTGGGGGAGTTGGGGGGGCAGGGAGGGTCTGGGGGTAGTTCTGGAATTATCAGGTCAAAATCTTTCTCATCCTCCAGATAGGTCACCTCTGCTTCACCATTCAGCAGTCTAGCAGGCAAATGGCCTGTTTCGCCTTGGTACTCTCTATCTGAGCAGTCGCTATCACAGTCACTTTCAATTGCATCTTTTTCAACTGTAGGAATGACTGTTATGTAGCACACATCTTTTTGGGGTTCTTTTAAATCTAGAAGATCCAAAACATCTGATAGTTTTAAGCTGTGTAGAGAAAAACATAGGAAAAATAGAATAAACAGCTAAAACTTTTGACACCTAGCATAATGCTATGACTATGCGTTATGCTAGCGGCAACAAATGTTGCCGTGGTTCCATTTACTCTTTTTATGATCAAAAAATTTATGCAGGCATATAATTCTCATTATATATCAGTAGTAGACCCTTTAAATACTATATGTACAAAATATTTCATTTATATCTGTTAATTAAGGTATTTTACTTACTTCCTTTTGTACAAGTTTGAGGCAGACATTTCCCGCCAGCGGTGCAAGCAGGAAGTAAAGAGGCCTGGTCATGTGACCATTCACACTAGTTACATGACACTGATACAAATTAGAGGACACAACATATTCTTTTATTTCAAAACTTGCATTAGCTGCCAAAACCAAAACAGCACTTTTAGAGCTTCCAGAAGTAAAAAAAAAAAAGAGCGGCAACAATTGTTGCCGGTGGGATAAAATGGGTTGCATTGCTATCACCTCAAAACCCTCTTTCTCTTCCCACATGGTAATCCTATATAACACCCAGCAGGTGAGTAATGCACATATCCATTCTGTTTCAGGGATGTCTCTGTCATGCACACTCAGTCAGGGTGCAGGTTGTTTTGTTTTTATTATTGCCACCAGCACAAAGGCTTGTTTTTAGAAGTTAAAAGTAAACTGACCCGACTGAGTCATCTTAACAGCATATCAAAATGACCTCTGAGAAACTAAAGCCAAGTTGTTAAGTCACGCAGCTCCTGTGGTTAACGTTATCTGGCACTAATCACTGTACCCTGGTGGTAAGAATGACTAAGTGCTAATTTACAGCTCAGACAGTTTTTTTTACCTGAAGTGCTATGTCAGTCTCTGTGAAAGCTTTTTGAAAGCAAAATTTAGGCAAAACGTCTGGAACACCATGAAAAGAGTAAAGTCAGTTGAGAATCAGTTCGCTCTGGGGCGGATGAGGTAAACTAATGTTACATGATATCTGAAGATATAACGAAAGAAATCAATTTAGGAAATATTGTAATGCACGAAGAAATCTGTAACAATTATAATAATTAATTACCTGCTTTGTTTATTATCCCAATCATTACCCCTTAGGCCTTAATCTCTCCTCTTTGTCCCCCATTGTGGTAAGCTGCATGAGTAAACCTTGTGTGTGCTAA